AAATTGCTGCAGAAATGTGGAGAATGGAATTTAAGACAAAAAATTAGAAACAGAGAAAAAACAAAATTTGACAGAATTGTCCGTGCTAAGGATTTCAGTTTGTTAGTGTGCTGTAAACAAACAAATTATTTGCTGTTTCTTATGACAATCACAACTTTACCTTTCTTTTACCAAGATCAGTGTTCTTTGGTTTTTTGGTTTTGTTTTGTTTTTTATAAAAAAATAGGTTAGCTTAAAAAATTAGAAATATTCATGGAAGGTGTGCCTTTCGATTAGTATTAACCAATATAAATACAGTGGTACCTTGGGTTACAAACGCTTCAGGTTACATACGCTTCAGGTTACAGACTCCGCTAACCCAGAAATAGTACCTCGGGTTAAGAACTTTGCTTCAGGATGAGAACAGAAATCGTGCTCTGGCAGCGCGGTGGCAGCAGGACGCCCCATTAGCTAAAGTGGTGCTTCAGGTTAAGAACAGTTTCAGGTTAAGAACAGACCTCTAGAACGAATTAAGTACTTAACCCAAGGTACCACTGTAAATGGAACACCCATGCCCAGAGGCCGTCTATCACAGAGTACCAGATACCTAGGGGAATGGTGGAGCAGGTCAGCCAAAGTGTTTTGCTCATGTGTTATTCTCAGAAGGGACGCGGGTGGCGCTGTGGGTAAAAGCCTCAGCGCCTAGGGCTTGCCGATCGAAAGGTCAGCGGTTCGAATCCCCGCGGCGGGGTGCGCTCCCGTTGCTCGGTCCCAGCGCCTGCCAACCTAGCAGTTCGAAAGCACCCCCGGGTGCAAGTAGATAAATAGGGACCGCTTACCAGTGGGAAGCTAAACGGCATTCCGTGTGCTGCGCTGGCTCGCCAGATGCAGCTTTGTCACGCTGGCCACGTGACCCGGAAGTGTCTTCGGACAGCGCTGGCCCCCGGCCTCTTGAGTGAGATGGGCGCACAACCCCAGAGTCTGTCAAGACTGGCCCGTACGGGCAGGGGTACCTTTACCTTTTTACCTATTCTCAGAAGCATCTCAATGGACACTGTTTGGAAGCTGCATACCAGACTAGACAGATCTGCTCCAGCATAGCTCTGGATCAAACATTATTCACAAATGACCGCTGGATGGGAGCACCAGGAAATGCTCTCTACCCACCCCACCCCCTGTTCATGTGTCCATTTGCACATGACAAAAGCATGAATCTATGACCACACATGTTCAGAAGGCAAGCAAGTGGAAGGGGGCAATGAGAGAGATAACTCAAGCTGGTTCTCAGTCACAGTCTCACTTGCTGAGCACACAGACAGATCATTGTCTTGAGGATGAGGGACTCTGGTTCTAAACAACGGTTTCCTGTTTCAGATAGCATCTTGCGGCTTTCAGCTAAATGCCTTCCAGATGTTGTCAGGCTCCATCTCCCAATGGCCAGTTGTCAGAGGTGATGTGAGCTGTGATCCAGCAATATGTGGGGTCATGCCAGTTCCACAGCCCTGGGGATCAGGGTTGGGGAATCTGTTGAACTCAGATTCCAAAAAGTGGCTCATTTGTTGCAATCTGGTCAGATCAAGCCCCTGGATTACATCCTGAGTTTACTTCAGAATCCACAGTCTGGTGGATTCCTTGACAGAATGGCCCAAGGACTGCATCGCTGCAGGAAGTTGCATTCTTGCCCTTGCAAACCCAGTAACGGACGTTGCAGCTTTGGTGTCTGTGAAAGAAACGAAAGAGGAGACTGCAATGTCAAGGAAACCAAGCAAGACAGAACCCCAAGTCCTGCTTTGAGGACTTGAAGAGGAGAACAGAGGGCAGAGTTCCTGATTGTATAGGCATTTCTAAGCACCCCCCCCCCTATGGAAATTGCTGAATGCACAAAGAAGTATACATTTCTTACAAAACGTTTGATTCCTGAGGATGCTAAAGCTATCCAATATCCAATACCTAGGGGCTGGTGAAACCGGTCTCGCCAGGGGTGCAAAGTGTATGCAAAAATCACCCAGAAAGCTGTCTCCAGTTATTTGTGCAAGGCCATGAGTTTACACAAGAGTTGGGAGCTGAGCAGTAGAAGAAATGTCAAGGTGGTATGAAGGCAGACCGCTGGAGACTATGGAGTCTATGACATATATATGTGTGGATTTGCACCACAAAGAGATCAAACGTCCCATCCTTCTTGCACCATGGCACAAAGGCATGCAGGTTTTTTTCGCCCTTCCTCCTCACCTTGCCCTCACTCTGGAGGCTTTGAAGCAGTTGGGTCTCACAAAATGTAGTACAGTGGTACCTCGAGTTACATACGCTTCAGGTTACAGAGTCCGCTAACCCAGAAATAGTGCTTCAGGTTAAGAACTTTGCTTCAGCATGAGAACAGAAATCGTGCTTTGGCGGTGTGGGGGCAGCAGGAGGTCCCATTAGCTAAAGTGGTGCTTCAGGTTAAGAAAATTTTCAGGTTAAGTATGGACCTCCAGAACGAATTAAGTCCTTAACCCGAGGTACCACTGTAATTTCTAAAGTGGCTATTGCTGTAAAGTGGGTTTTTTTTCAGGGTGATGTCTATACAGCTCCTTGCCAAGGGCGCAAGGGACTCTAAGGTGCGTTCAACTGAACATGGTCAGAGTCCCCCTGAAATATACTCAGAGTCGAGTGTGGATTTCATGCTCCTTATTCAGCTCATAGTAGTGAGGAATGGAAGTTCCCCCGAAATGTCTGCTTTATATACATTATTTACACAATGGGCCCCACGTGATTGGCTAATTCTGGGATTCTCCTGTAGGCCAATCAGGTTGCGGATTCACTTCCACCTGGAGTTGGAGTGGGTGGCTCCTGCGGACCAATCAGACTGCTGCATTCTGAATCCTATTTTCATGGGAGAAATGTTGGAGGGTACGGAGTTATGTGACCCCCTGAGCCAAGGAAATAAGTAATTTTATACGACCTTTAGGTGACATCTGAAGGCAGCCCTGTATAGGAATATTTTTTAATGTTTAATGGGTGGTATATAAATAATATAATAATTATTATTACTGCTGCTGCTGCTACTACTACTACTATGGAATAGGACGTCCCTATTTTCATTGGAGAAATGTTGGAAGTATGGGCACAACAATGTACTGTAATTTATTCTGACCATAGAGCGTCCCCATCCCTCAGTATTATTGCACGACAAAACTACATGCAAATGCCGCTTCTGGGTTTTGATTTCTGTTGATGCTTTAAGAGCTTCTTGCCTGATGGATGAATGCTCCCTACGAAGCAGTAAGCCTGAAAATCAAAACCAGGCTTAGCAAAGCACTACTCCCACGCAGGAGCAGATATTAAAGAAAAACAAATTGCGGAAGCCATAGTTTCAGATCCACGTCCAGTCTAGAAGGGGTACCGTAAACATTTTTATTGTGCAAGCACAAATTGCGCTTCCAGGAACTCATCAGGACAGGGGGCCTCAGCCCAGGGGACGCTGGCCTCTGGATGCTTCGCAAAGAAAAATATGCTATGAATCTTGCAGCTCAACACCCCTCCAGACCCAATTCAGCTCCACCTAGCGCTGCAGATGAAAACCACATGGCAACCACTGTCCCCGTTGCTTAGCTCAGCTCTTCTCCACCAAGGAGGAGCCACCACTTCTGTCCTCCCGAGTGCAAAGGGCAAAGTGAGGACATCATCTCCTGACAACAGCCAGGCAGGGCTTTGCCTGTGCGACACGTCCTCGTTGCAGCTCAGCTCCTTGATCTGTCTTTAGCGTCAGCCTTGAGCCCTGATGCACAGAGGTCAAGGAAGAAGAGAGTACCTCTGTGGATGTGCAGAGTGCCTTTCACTCCCTGCCAGGGGCATTGCAGGGCATTTAAATGACACACCTTTCCCTGTGCTAATTTTTTAAGTGTAGATACTGTTATGTACTGAAGTTCTCACCCTGGGCCAGCAGGGGGATACTGTAGATAGTTTTCACTCAGGTCCACATATGCAAATAAGGAATTGAAAGTGACGTTCAGTGGTTGAATAGTTACAGAAAGTTGTTACTGTTGCTTTGTAGTTGAGCTCTATATAAGCAGGTTGGCTGAACCCTTCAGCTCAGTTCTGTTCTGGCCTGTGAATAAACAAGAGCTGTTTGAAGAATCGCTGTGTCGTCTGATACGTTCACCCACAACTTAACAGATACAGGTTTAGGCCTCTGAATGAGTGAAGGTCAGTGGGTAGGAGTCCCAACAACAGACACAAAGTTTTGCAGCAGCTATTGGTAAGCCAAGTTTGGCTTAAAAAACAAAACAAAAAAACTTTTTCAAGTTTGGGGCCCGGTGCAAAAGATGCTGTGTGGACACCCTGGGTACTTATGAACATTGATTTCATTGATTCGACCACTTTAGGTCAGGAAACCCTGGGGTTCTCTAAACCCTGGGTCACCAACCCAGCACCCATGGGTGCCATGGCATCTGTAAAGGCTTTCATTGGTACCCCAGGAAAGGTGACCCAACTTCTGAGCTTTCTTTTCTTGAAAGAAAGTTATGGGGCTAAATGTGCAGGTACCTTCTAGGGAATTTCTGTGAAATGAGTTTGATGTGGCCAGCATGTATATTTTTCCTGGTACTGTTATTGTTGGACAGCAATGACATCAATGTGTGGGTGAGGAGGGAGAGAGAGGGAGATAATTGTTGTGTGATCTCCACAATCAGGACTGGCACAACATAGCTAACTTCCCACTGTAAGCATAAAGTTGTCGGCTCTAAATTTTTTGCTATGCCACACTCCCACATGGTAGCCATTTTGTGACTATTACCCCCAGCACTCCCATTGATATGTGCCCATTGGTTCCAAAATTTTGGCTACCGCTGCTCTAGATGGTGCTGGACTACAACTCCCACAAGCCCTGACCTTGATGGGCCTGATGGGAACTGTAGTCCAACAAAATCTGAATGAGGAGCCACAGGATCTCCAACCCTGCTTTGGCTTGTAAGCCTGAGGTAGGACATATGTGGCTTCTAATTCCTGTGCTGGGCCAGGTGGCTTTCTTTTCCTTCTTTTAACATACAATTCTTTTATTAATTTTTTCAAACATTTTTACAATAACCTTCAAATCAAATAATTACATTATTTCATAAGCTGACTTCCCTCTCTCAGCTCCTCAGTGTTTTTACTCAAACCTTTTCTATTGGTTTTTATCTCTATCTATTACAAAAGGTTTCTCTATTACAATTATTTGTCATTTTTATTCTGCTGATTTTATCTTGAATCCTGCCCACGATTTCATTTGACTGTAATATTTTTTCTCTCTAAATAATCCATGAAAGGCTTCCATTCTTCTATAAAAAGTTCATCATTTTGATCTCTTAATTTCCCTTTCGGCATTGCCAATCCTGCTAGGGTTGCCATATTTCAAAAAAAAATTGGCCATTTCTGAGCTATTTTTAAGGGAAATCAGCAAAAACTCACTGCCGACATGGGCAGCCATACGTCCTGATTTTCCCAGACATTTCTCCAATTTCTTCCCAGGCACTATTTCTGACTGCAGTATTCCAGATATGTCTGGGAAATTCTGGATGTATGGCAAATCTAATTTCTGCATAGCCCATTAATTTTAAATTTCACTCCTCCTTCAGTGGAACCTTCTCTTCTTTCCATTTCTGTGCCTGTAATATTCTAGATGCTGTTATCACATACATAGACTTTCTACAGAAATACCCAATCTCCAGAACAAAATATACCCCCCCCAAAAAAACCCCTCCTGCTTCACCCTGTTATTCTTTCAGTGGTCTTCCCTTCAGCTCTGGCGTTTTTGGGCCACCACAATGCCGAATGCCTTTGCGTCTGTCTCAGATAGTGGCAAATCGATCTTGGTCTCCTTGAACAACTTGACAGCAAAGCCTGCCTCCTTGAGGGCTTCCTCCACAGATGCCCACTCCAAGTAGAGGCCGGAGAAGGGCTGCTGGCCCACCTTGTAGTAGGTTTCTTCTAGGACGGAGCCTAAGATGAGGTGCCCCCCTGGTTTGACAAGGGAGCTGATGTTCTTCAGAGCAGAGCGGTAGGTGGGCAGGTCTTTGCAGGCCCCTTCCAGGCATAAGGAGGACAGCAAGCAGTCCGCTGGAGGCAGAGCCACAGGGCCCAATGGGCTGGCCTGGGTCACGTCGCATTTCAGTACCTGCTTAATGGCTCTTCGGACCTTTTCTTCCTTTTCTTCCCACTTTTCCCTGGGGAAGAATGAAAGATGAACATGACAAGATCCTTGCACCCCACAATGCCCAACCCCTGTCCTCAGATGTTCCTAATTCCAGCCAGGCACATCTCAGGATCGCTCCACATCCTCAGCTGAATGTGTGGATAATTCCTGGTTGCCAGGGATCTCAAAGGGTGAACCAGTGTCCTACAAGTTACAAGCAAGGTGCAATTTACTGTATATGTGCTTTTCAGCTTTGCAGATGTTATTTTCCTATTAGACGTTGGATCAGTAAAGGTGCTGTGCTGCTGTGCTCACGTAAACCAACTGGGGAAACTAAACTTCAGTGCCTGATTGCTGCATGTTTCATTTGCGGTCTACAAGAACCTGTGATGGCTTTACCAACCTTCCTTCCAGAGGATATCTGAGTGCCGAGGAGTCTTAAAATTCCACCTTCAATGTCCCATGCCAGAAAATTCTCCATACCTGTTACCCTCCAGCTCGCACACATATTTCACCACCGGGCTCCAGTCGAAAGCTCCTGGCTCCTTCCTTAGCCATCGTTGCATCTCCTCCCTGTTCTGATCACAATAATCTGAGGCGACAATTTCTCGGAAGGACTCACAAGCCGAGAGGAACTGGTAGATGGTCGGTCCACTTCCAATATCAATCAGGGTGTCCCCTTTTATGTCATCTGCATGGAATTAACCCATTAACCCATTTATTCAGATTTCAGCCATGATTCTTGGACAACAACAGCCTCGCTTGGTCATTTCACATTTAGTCAACAACTTTATATGTGAATATTAGAAGGGAAAGCTTTCACAGTGTTTCAAAACTGCTGCTGAATCATAGATCAAGGGTGGCTAGCCTGTGCTAATGGGGGAAGACAGAAAATCAATTCTATTTGCATTGGTAGGCAAACCTGCCTAACCTCTTTTCAAAACAATATATGAAGTGATGCACAGGTAGCTTTCAAAATTCACACATCTCTGAATTTTGCAGTGTAGATCTACAGTCAAGACATGGGTACAAAAATAGACATAGCAGGGTAAAGTGTGCATAAAAGTTCATGTCTTTATGAAACAATATTTGAAAGGTATCAGGGAAAACTGATTTGCAAAAATCCATGTATTATACAAATATGGCACACAGAATTCTGTCTGTTAGGAGACGTTTGCACTAAAATGCTAATGCATTATCATAAGAACTTAATTATTCCCCCTGCAAATTGGAATGTGGAAATGTGGGGAACGGAACGTAAGGCTGGAAGAATGAGAAACAACAAATGACAGGTTTGCTCATTTTGACTTGCAGCGCTCTAAATGTTGCTGAACCACAACTCCTATCATTCCTCTGAGCACTGACGCATGCTGGCTGGGGCTAATGGGAGCTGGAAAGCTACCACTGCTATAGATCCAACTGGTATTAAAGGTCTCTCCCACCACAGGCCACCTTAGAGGCTGGCAACTGTGGACATAATCAAATGGATCATTCATACCCCTTTCAGGGAATCTCTTTCCAGGCAACCCAGTTTTGTGACAGCTCTGGAGCCCATGAAATACACCAGCACTTACCTAAAGTGAATGCCTGGTGGAGATTTTTCAGAAAGAAAAACAAAAAGGCATTCTTGTTTTCTTTTCCAGAGCTGAAGTTGTAAAAGGTGTCCAAATAGTCTTTTGGACTGAAATGTGCAGCATAGAAGTCTTTCTCGGTGAAAGCCATTTGCACGATCCTTGGAAACCTGCTTGGTTTTTGGAGTGTTTATAGGGAGTTTTGTTTACTGGCTCCACCTTTGCATTCCTATTATGCTATCTAGGGTCATTAGGGGGTTTTTCTTCTTCTTCTTCTTCTTTTTTAATGAAGTCACCAGAATTCCAGCCTATCCGGTCTTTCCTGCCCCTCTAAAAACCAAGCAAACAAGCAAATACCTTTTAAATACCTTCTAGGTTTACCTCTGGGACATCTTTCGTAAGCTAACCTTTTCTCCCCTATGTCTGAGAAATTATCTGTTGCAAACAATTATTATCTTGGAAACGGAGAGAGAAAATCCCAACGTCCCTTTGAGTAAAAACACTTAAACTTTGGGATCACAATACCTGGAAATAATTAACTTATTTGCCTGATGTTATACTGGCCCTGCTTCTTTGAGCTGTGTGGCAATTCCAGGGTGCAGCATTTATGTAGGTCTGTTTTCCTTCGGAAGCAGCTCACAGCAGGTATAGTTCTAGATATAGCTTAACTTGTGGTGGATTTCTTCAATAAACACAACATTGTGATATTTGATGTGACTTTACTTGGTGAAACAGAACAGCAGCTGCTGCTGGGGAACCCACAAAATCAGACCCTCCAACTATCCCTATTTTCCAGAGACGTCCCTGATTTAGAGAATTTGTCCTAGTTTCTGATTTCATCCCGGAATGTCCCACTTTTCCTTAGGATGTCCCTATTTTCATTGGAGAAATGTTGGAGAGTATGGAGTTATCTGACCACTCAGCCATCTTGACTGGGAACAGTTGTGGACCACCGGTATAAAATTCACTGAATGTAATGCCCTAAGAGAGAATATTGTGAAAATGATTTATAGGTGGTACATGACCCCAGTCAAGCTTGCAAAAATTTATCATTTGCCTGATTATAAATGTTGGAAATGTAAAGAGACTGAAGGTACAGTCTTTCACCTTTGGTGGACGTGCCCAAAGATTAAGTCTTTCTGGGAAATGATCTATAATGAAATGAAAAAGGTATTTAAATATACCTTCCTGAAGAAACCAGAGGCCTTCCTCTTGGGCATAGTCAGCCAATTGGTGCCAAAGAAGGACAGAACTTTTTTTATGTATGCAACAACAGCAGCAAGAATATTGATCACAAAGTATTGGAAGACACAAGATTTGCCCACACTGGAAGAATGGCAGATGAAGGTGCTGGATTACATGGAACTGGCAGAAATGACCGGCAGAATCCGAGATCAGGGAGAAGAGGTGGTGGAAGAAGACTGGAAGAAGTTTAAAGACTATTTGCAGAAATACTGTAAAATTAATGAATGTTGAAGGGATGTTGGATTGAAATTAAGCGGTATTGGTAAAAAGATGAATAAGAATATGTAAATGCGGATTGATAATGGCTGGAAATATATAGTTATAATAGGTTAAGACAATAAGTAAAGATAAATGATAGAGGGTAAGGATTTGCTGAACTAACTTTCTGAACTGGAATACAGAAGAGGGGTGTGTGAGGAGGTCAGGAAACAAGTAAATGAAATATAAGACATGAAAATATTGATTATTTTTCTTCTTTTTTAAACTTTCTTCTTTACCTTTTATGTGCTTGGTTTATGTATTTTTTTGTATTGTTTATGTCCTTTAGTATTGTTATTTTTTTGGTTTTTTATCTATAATTTTGTAACTTTCTATTGTTTGAAAATGTCTAATAAATATCTTTAAAAAAAAAAAAAATCTGACCACTCAGCCATCTGAAGGCAATTCTGTACAGTCGTACCTCCATTTACGTAACCCTCTGGTTACATAAACTTCGGAATGTGTGTGCGGCAAACCCAGAAGTATTTTACCGGGTTTTGCTGTGCGCACATGCGCAGAAGCGGTCCTCAGGTTGCAGAAACCTCGGGATCTGACCAGACCTCTGGAATGGATCCCATCCACAACCGGAGGTACCACTGTATAGGGAAGTTTTTTAAAAAAATGTTTAATGTTTTATTATGTTTTTATATATGTTGGTAGCTGCCCAGAGTGGCTGGGACAACCCAATAAGATGTATGGGGTATAAATAGTAAAATTCTCAATATGCAATTGGACGTCCCTATTTTCATCGGAGAAATGTTGGAGGGCATGCAAAATGGAGTCTACAGGCCTATAAATTACACAGGGCTTGTCCACATTTCCACTTATTCTGTCGTTTTCTAAGCCTGTGCTCTAAGAGGTTTTCCACTTGCCTTGCCACATTCCTTGCTGTTTACTACTGAATCAGAACAAACGCTAATCTGCAGGAGAAGCAATGATCTAATTCAGCAGTAAACAGCAACTTTTCGGGGGGGAGGGGAGAGAGAAGTGGTGGGAAAAGTGGAAGTGTGGATGAAGACTAATTCAGGTTCTTGGAGGAAAAAAATGTCTGCATGATCAGAATTAGATGCCTGATTCAGCAGGAAGAATAGGGTGCCTACTGGCTGCCAGGCAAACTCAAAGCTGAGTTCTTTCTGTGCAAACATTCTTGACACTTACAATCTGAGTAAACAGATTCTCCCAACAAGGTCTTTTCACACTCTGTTTTAACTTTTTTACAACTCTTGACATGTAGACTCTCTATCAAAGCATATACTATAATTTATTTAATCTCAAATCCTGCCCACAATTTCATTTGAGTGTAATCTTTTTCTAAATAGTCCATGAAAGGCTTCCATTCTTCTATAAAAAGTTCATCATCTTGATCTCTTAATTTCGCTGTCAGCATTGCCATTTCTGCATAGTCCATTAAATCTAAAAGCTACTCCTCCTTCGGTGGAACCTTCTCTTCTTTCCATTTCTGTGCATATAATATTTTAGCTGCTGTTGTCGCATAAATAAAAGTTCTAAAGAAATAACTAATACTTTTTTGCAAATTCCACCACAAAATATTTCCTGCTTTGCCCTGCTTTTCTTTCAGTGCTCTTTACTTCAATTCTGGCATTTCTGGGCCACTGCAACGCAGACCGCCTTTGCGTCCGTCACAGAGAGCGGCAAGTTGATCTTGGTCTCATTGAGCCACTTGACAGCAAAGCCTGCCCCCTTGAGGGCTTCCTCCACAGATGCCCGCTCCAAGTAGAGGCAGGAGAAGGGCTGCTGGCCCACCTTGTAGTAGGTTTCTTCTAGGATGGAGCATAAGACGAGGTGCCCCCCTGGTTTGACAAGGGAACTGATGTTCTTGAGAGCAGAGCGGAAGGTGGGCAGGTCTTTGCAGGCCGATTCCAGGCACAAGGAGGACAGCAAGCAGTCTGCGGGAGGCAGAGACACAGGGCCCAATGGGCTTGGCTGGGTCACATCACATTTCAGTATCTGCTTGATGGCTCTTCGGACCTTCTCTTCCTTCTCTTCCCACTTTTCCCTAAGGGAGAATGCAAGATGAATGTGAAAAGATTCCCGCGCCCCACAATGCCGGACCCCCCAAGTGTCCCTAACTTCCAGGGACAGTCCCAGATTTACAGAAGCCATCCCAGTTATAGATTTGATCCCAGAATGTCCCGCTTTTCCTTAGGATGTCCCTATTTTCTTTGGAGAAATGTTGGAGGGTATGGAGTTATGCAACCCCTGAGCCAAGGAGATAAGTAACTGTATAACCTTTAGAAGACTTCTGAAGGCAGTCTTGTATTGGGAAGTTTTTGAAATGTTTAATGTTTTATTATGTTTTTATCTATGTTGGAAGCAACCCATCAAATTCTCCATACCTGTTACCCTCCAGCTCGCACACATATTTCACCACCGGGCTCCAGTCGAAAGCTCCTGGCTCCTTCCTTAGCCATCGTTGCATCTCCTCCCAGTTCTGTTCACAATAATCTGTGGCGATGATTTCTCCAAAGGACTCACAAGCTGAGAGGAACTGGTAGATGGTCGGTCCACTTCCGATATCAATCAGGGTGTCCCCTTTTATGTCATCTGCATGGCATCAACCCAATAACACATATGTTCCAATGTTAGCCATGATGCTTAGACAACAACAGCTTGGCCTGGTCATTTCACATTTCTTCAAAAACGTTATATGTGAATATTAGCAGGGGAATTTTTTCACGGTGTTTCAAAATTGCTGCTGAACCCTATAGATCAAGGGTGGCTAACCTGTGCTAATGGGGGGAGGGAGAAATTCAATTCTATTTGCATTGATAGGCAAACCTGCCTAATCTGCTCTTTTCAAAACAATATATGAATTGACGCACAGCTAGCTTTCAAAATTCACACATCTCTGAATTTTGCAGTGTAGTTCTAGGAATGGGCTCACGAATACATATAGCAGGGTAAAATGTGCATACAAGTTTATATCTTAGCTAAAACAATATTTTTTGAAATGCACTGTATTAGGGAAGACTGCTTTGCAAAAGATCTGTGTATTATGCAAAAATTGCACACAGAATTATACAGTTAAATCAGTACTAAAATGCTGATGCATTTCTGTGCAGATGTCATTATTCCCCCTACAGACTGGAAAATGGAAATGTGGGGAACTGGACTTAAGGCTGGAAGAATGAGAAACAACAGATGACAGGCTTGCCCATTCCAACCTGCAGCCCTCTAAATGTTGGCTGAACCACAACTCCTATCATTCCCCTGAGCATTGACACATGCTGGCCAGGGCTAAGGGGAGCTGGAAAGCTACCACTGCTATAGATCCAACTGGTATTAAAGGTCTCCCCCTCCATGGGCCACCTTAGAGGCTGACATAATCAAATGGATCATTCATGTCCCTTTTGGGGATCTCTTTCCAGGCAACCCAGTGTGGCGACAGCTCTGGAACCCATGAAATACACCAACACTTACCTAAAATGAATGCCTGGTGGAGATTTTTCAGATAGAAAATCAAAAAGCCATTCTCATCTTCTTTTCCAGAGCTGAAGGTGTAATAGGTGTCCAAATAGTCTTTTGGACTGAAATGTGCAGCATAGAAGTCTTTCTCGGTGAAAGCCATTTGCACGATCCTTGGAAACCTGCTGAATGCTTGGTTTTTGGAGTGTTTATAGGGAGTTTTGTTTACTGGCTCCACCTTTGCATTCCTATTATGCTATCTAGGGTCATTAGGGGGTTTTTCTTCTTCTTCTTCTTTAATGAAGTCACCAGAATTCCAGCCTATCCGGTCTTTCCTGCCCCTCTAAAAACCAAGCAAACAAGCAAATACCTTTTAAATACCTTCTAGGTTGACCTCTGGGACATCTTTCGTAAGCTAACCTTTTCTCCCCTATGTCTGAGAAATTATCTGTTGCAAACAATAATTATCTTGGAAACGGAGAGAGAAAATCCCAACGTCCCTTTGAGTAAAAACACTCAAACTTTGGGATCACAATACCTGGAAATAATTAACTTATTTGCCTGATGTTATACTGGCCCTGCTTCTTTGAGCTGTGTGGCAATTCCAGGGTGCAGCATTTATGTAGGTCTGTTTTCCTTCGGAAGCAGCTCACAGCAGGTATAGTTCTAGATATAGCTTAACTTGTGGTGGATTTCTTCAATAAACACAACATTGTGATATTTGATGTGACTTTACTTGGTGAAACAGAACAGCAGCTGCTGCTGGGGAACCCACAAAATCAGACCCTCCAACTATCCCTATTTTCCAGAGACATCCCTGATTTAGAGAATTTGTCCTAGTTTCTAATTTCATCCTGGAATGTCACTTACAGGACACTTACAGACTGAGTGAACAGATTCTCCCAACAAGGTCTTTTCACACTCTGTTTTACTGTTTTTACAACTCTTGACGTGTAGGCTCTCTAGCAAAGCATATACTCTAATTTCTTTAATCTCCAATCCTGCCCACAATTTCATTTGAGTGTAATCTTTTTCTAAATAGTCCATGAAAGGCTTCCATTCTTCTATAAAAAGTTCATCATTTTGATCTCTTAATTTTGCTGTCAGCATTGCCATTTCTGCATAGTCCATTAAATGTAAAAGCCACTCCTCCTTCGGTGGAACCTTCTCTTCTTTCCATTTCTGTGCATATAATATTTTAGCTGCTGTTGTCACATACATAAAATTTCTAAAGAAAAAACTAATATATTTTTTACAAATTCCACCACAAAATATTTCCTGCTTTGCCCTGCTTTTCTTTCAGTGTTCTTTCCTTCAATTCTGGCATTTCTGGGCCACGGCAACGCAGACCGCCTTCGCGTCTGTCACAGAGAGCGGCAAGTTGATCTTGGTCTCATTGAGCCACTTGACAGCAAAGCCTGCCCCCTTGAGGGCTTCCTCCACAGATGCCCGCTCCAAGTAGAGGCAGGAGAAGGGCCGCTGGCCCACCTTGTAGTAGGTTTCTTCTAGGATGGAGCATAAGATGAGGTGCCCCCCTGGTTTGACAAGGGTACTGATGTTCTTGAGAGCAGAGCGGAATGTGGCCAGGTCTTTGCAGGCCCCTTCCAGGCACAAGGAGGACAGCAAGCAGTCTGCTGGAGGCAGAGCCACAGGGCCCAATGGGCGTGGCTGGGTCACATCACATTTCAGTATCTGCTTGATGGCTCTTCGGACCTTCTCTTCCTTCTCTTCCCACTTTTCCCTAAGGGAGAATGCAAGATGAATGTGAAAAGATTCCCGTGCCCCACAATGCCGGACTCCCCAAGTGTCCCTAACTTCCAGGGACAGTCACAGATTTAAAGAAGCCATCCCAGTTTTAGATTTGATACCAGAATGTCCCGCTTTTCCTGAGGCTGTCCCTATTTTCTTTGGAGAAATGTTGGAGGGTATGGAGTTATGCAACCCCTGAGCCAGGGAGATAAGTAACTGTATAACCTTTAGAAGACTTCTGAAGGCTGTCTTGTATTGGGAAGTTTTTGAAATGTTTAATGTTTTATTATGTTTTTATATATGTTGGAAGCAACCCAGCATAATCTCTGTACCTGTTACCCTCCAGCTCGCACACATATTTCACCACCGGGCTCCAGTCGAAAGCTCCTGGCTCCTTCCTCAGCCATCGTTGCATCTCCTCCCAGTTCTGTTCACAATAATCTGTGGCGACAATTTCTTGGAAGGACTCACAAGCTGAGAGGAACTGGTAGATGGTCGGTCCACTTCCAATATCAATCAGGGTGTCCCCTTTTATGTCATCTGCATGGAATCAACCCAATAACACATATGTTCCAATGTCAGCCATGATGCTTAGACAACAACAGCCTGGCCTGGTCATTTCACATTTAGTCAACAACATTATATGTGAATTTCAGCAGGGAAAGTTTTTCACGGTGTTTCAAAATTGCTGCTGAATCACTATAGATCAAGGGTGGCTAACTTGTGCTAATGGGGGAAGGGAGAAATTCAATTCTATTTGCATTGGTAGGCAAACCTGCCTAATCTGCTCTTTTCGAAACAATATAATTGACGCACAGCTAACTTTCAAAATTCACACATCTCTGAATTTTGCAGTGTAGTTCTAGAAATGGGCTCACAAATACATATAGCAGGGTAAAATGTGCATACAAGTTTATATCTTAGCCAAAACAATATTTTTTGAAATGCACTGTATTAGGGAAGACTGCTTTGCAAAAAATCTGTGTATTATGCAAAAATTGCACACAGAATTATGCAGTTAAATCAGTACTAAAATGCTGATGCATTTCTGTGCGGATGTCATTATTCCCCCTACAGACTGGAAAATGGAAATGTGGGGAACGGAACTTAAGGCTGGAAGAATGAGAAACAACAAATGACAGGTTTGCTCATTTCGACTTGCAGCGCTCTAAATGTTGCTGAACCACAACTCCTATCATTCCCTTGAGCATTGATGCATGTTTGCCGGGGCTAACAGGAGCTGGAAAGCTACCACTGCTATAGATCCAACTGGTATTAAAGGTCTCTCCCACCACAGGCCACCTTAGAGGCTGGCAACTGTGGACATGATCAAATGGATCATTCATACCCCTTTTCAGGGGTCTCTTTCCATTCAGCCCAGTGTGGTGACTGCTCTGGAACCCATGAAATACACCAGCACTTACCTAAAATGAATGCCTGGTGGAGATTTTTCAGATAGAAAATCAAAAAGCCATTCTCGTGTTCTTTTGCAGAGCTGAAGGTGTAATAGGTGTCCAAATAGTCTTTTGGATTGAAATGTCCAGCATAGAAGTCTTTCTCGGTGAAAGCCATTTGCACGATCCTTGGAAATGCTCTGCTGAGAGGTTTTTTGGAGTTTCTTTTTGGAGTTCTGGCTCCACCTCTGCATTCCTGTTATGTAACCAAGGGTTGTTGTGATGTTTCCAGTCTTAAAAAATGAAGCCTTGCTGATTCCAATTATGTTGTGATATCCTTATGAGCTTCTCTTCCCACCTGTCTAAAAAGCAAGCAAACAAGCAAAACAACCACCTTGCAAAATCCTTCTAGGTTTACCTCTCTGGCACTCTTCCATATATTTTCGAAATTATCTGTTGAAAACAATTAGTATCTTATAAAGAGAGAGTGAGAAAATCCCATAATCCATTTATGTAATAAAGGTTAAGCTTTGGTATCACAATACCAGGAAGTAATTAATCTCTTGGCAGAATGGAAAGCTACCACTCACAATGCTTCTTTGAGCTGTGTGGAAGTTCCTGGGTGCAGCATTTATGTAACTTATGGATAGATAGATCAATCAATCAATAGATAGTATTTACAAATATATAGTTTCACTTTTGGTGGATTACTTCAATAAGCACACTATTGTGATGTTTGATGAGACTTTACTTGCTGAAACAGAACTGAAGTGGCTGCTGGGAAACCCACAAAAATATAGTCCACGGCGTATGAAGTACACAGGCCTGAACAGAGGCATTCCTCACCTTGGCTTTATAAATGCGCAGAAATTCAGGACTTTCTAGCCATGTGTCCAAGGGGCTTTCTGCCTACCTTGCCGGTTTCCTAGCTGTTTGCCACTAAATTGGAACAAATGTCAATCTGCCAATTGGACGTGCCAATTCATTTTTTAAAAAATAAAAATTATTTTATTTATGATTTTCAATTTTATACATTTCAATAGTTTTATCATCACTTTAGCATTTAAAAACTTGACCTTTCCCCCTCTTTCTGTGGTTCCTTAGATTTATTTTTAATATTTTTTGCATATCAAATTTATGCAGGCAGAGGGCCTTCTTGGTAGTGGCGCCCACCCTGTGGAACGCCCTCCCATCAAATGTCAAGGAATTAAACGACTATCTGACCTTTAGAAGACATCTGCTTGTAAACAAGACATCTGAAGGCAGCCCTGTATTGCAAAGTTTTTAATGTTTTATATTTTATCGCTTTATTATTATTATTATTATTATTATTATTATTATTATTCTGTTGGGTGCCACCCAGAGTATACCTTAATTTGCTCATTTATTCTTCTACTTTAAATATATACTCTTATGAAACTGCAGGTTATTTCAATAATCCTGCCAATGTTCTTATCTTTTTAGAGTTTACTTGTAAATATTCAATAAACCATTTCAATTCTTTTATAAAAAGTTTGTTATCTTGATTTCTTATTTTTCCAGTAAGTTTCGCCATCTCTGCATATTCCATAAGTTTCTGTATCCATTCTTCTTTTGCTGGGACTTCTGCTTCTTTCCATTTTTGGGTGAGTAACATTCTTGCCACTGTAGTCACATACATGAATAAATTTCCATACAGTTTGGGTAGTTCTGTCCCTATATTTCCCAAATGGAAAGCTTCTGGATGTTGTTTTTACAAACATTATTTTAAACATCTTTTTCATTATATATCGTTTCCCAGTGAGCTTTAACTTTACTGTAAGACCACCACATATGATAAAAAGAACCTTCTTTCTCTTTACATTTCCAGCACTTATTTGATATGGATTTATACATTTTTGCCAATTTACTCAGTGTTAGATACCATCGATATATCATTTTCATATAATTTTCTCTTAAACATAACATGCTGTAAATTTCATATCTGTTTTCCACAATCTTTCCCATGCTTCCATGTCTATATTAAGACCAATATCTATTGCCCAATGTATCACTGAGGATTTTACTTGCTCATCCTTTGTCTCCCATTCCAATAATATCTAATACATTTTAGACAACACTTTTACATTACATTCCAACAGGTCTCTCTCCAGTTGTGATATTTGTTCCCCAAACCCTTGTATACTATCTTTCTTAAATACTTCATTCAAATGATGATATTGTATCCATGTTGTTAATTTTCCTGATAATTCCTTAAATTATTTCAATTGATACTCTCCTCCTTCTTGTTTTAATAAATTTAAATAAATTGTACAGCCTTCTATCATATTATTTTTCTTTACTGCTATAGCTTCCAACAGTGATCACCAAAGTGGTGTTTTTACCTCTAATAGATTTTTGTATTTATCCCATACTCTATATATTTTTTTCTAAATTATATGATTTTTAAATCCTTTATGTACTTTCACCTTTTTATACCATAAATGAGCATGCCAACCAAAAATATTACTATGACCTTCTAAGTCTAGAATATGTGAATTTTCCAATGTCATCCATTCCTTCGGCCAACAAAGCCCAGAAGCTTCATAGTATAATCTCATATCTGGCAGGGAGAAACCTCCTCTCTCTTTTGCATCTATCAATATTTTATATTTTATTCTTGGTTTTTTCCCTTGCCAAATATATTTTTGCCATACGTTGAAACAATCTGTCTTGCCAATCACCAGAATTGTTTGAAACAAAAATAACATTCTAGGTAATACATTCATTTTTATAATTCACACTCTGCCTAATAGCGAAAGATTCATTATGTTCCATATTTGCAAATTTATTTTAATATCTTCCCAAGTTGATGAATGTGCCAATTCAACAGTAAACAGCAAGTTTTCCATGGGGAAAGTAGGCTGGATGCTGAGACCCTCCTAATCCCTGGATCCAGCAAGTGGTAGCATCTAAGCATGGATTCAAATTCCTGGTGAGGTGATAGCCTAAGTATGGGTTGTTAAGCTAACAAAGGAAGTGACTCTTTGCCAGTAGTTAGAAAGACAAAGGCCAGAGCTGAGAGTAGAGTTATGTGATCTAGAGACTCGCATTTGGAAGCTAGAAGGAGGCAGAATCCAGAGAGTCAGAGACATGCCTGATTTCTGCTGGAAATCAAGGCCATGGCCATGAGAGAAACAAGACCTTCTTGGGGTGTTAATGCTGTGAACCATCGTAGGCTTGGGTTGTATATGTGTGTAAATAAACCATATATCCTAAAGGCACCACAGTCTCCACTGTCCCTCATTCTGAGGAAATGGGACCCCGGGATCCCTGGAATCTGGCACTGCTTGGAGATTGTGGTGGCGTGCAACAATATGTTGTATTTAATCAGAGTGTTGTATAGTGCTACGAGGATCTCCTACATTTTAAAAAGTTACGAACATCAGCAATAACAACTGTCATCCAGTAATAGAACCAGATGCAAATTCATAGTTTTGCTGTGGGTTAAACCACAGAGCCTAGGACTTGCCAATCAGAAGGTCAGTGGTTCAATTCCCCACAACAGGGTGAGCTCCCGTTGCTCGGTCCCTGCTCCTGCCAACCTAGCAGTTCGAAAGCACATCAAAGTGCAAGTAGATCAATAGGTACCGCTCTGGTGGGAAGGTAAACGGCGTTTCTGTGCGCTGCTCTGGTTCGCCAGAAGCAGCTAAGTCATGCTGGCTACATGACCCGGAAGCTGTACGCCGGCTCCCTCAGCCAATAAAGTGAGATGAGCGCTGCAACCCCAGAGTCGGCCATGACTGGACCTAATGGTCAGGGGTGCCTTTATCTTTACCTTTAAGGGACCACGGGGATCATCTAGTCCAACTTTCTGCAGTGCAACAACGTGGGGCTTGAACCCACAACCCTGAGATTTAAGACTCTTGTGCTCTACCAACTGAGCTGTTGCCTCTGATGCTTTGCAAATTTTGCATATTAGAACCAACTCATTCGGGATCTCTAAAACACCATTTCCTCTGCAGCGTACTGTAAGTTTTATCATCTCACAACTTTGGCACTCTCTTGGGCAATCCTTGCTCAACTTCTGGGAAGGAATGCTGTGGCTTCTCAGTTTGTTTCGCAACACATTTTTATTGTTGCCCAGATGTAAGTTTTAAGGCTGGTGATGGGAAACAAGATTTCAAGTGAACCTCTGTATGTGAAGTGTCATTTCTTCCCAAGCCATGCACTGCCACGTGCCTATAAAGTTCATCTCCTACACTCGATTCAGTCGCGTTGATTGTATTGTTCACCTGCTGGTCAGTATTACAGCACACGCACGAGTTGCCATTTTGTGCACATAGCTGGGGAGGTCTAGCTGCAGAGACCAAAATACTGTTATAGGTGTGGTCAGACCACCTTCTTTGTAAGACAACGGCTTTAGCTGGCCAGTTAAGTACTTCCATTCACATGTCCAAAGAGTACCCTGTTGCCATGGAGACAAAGGAATGGGCCTTTCCCCCATCTTTTCTGGCTGGATATCACATCATTCTAGGAGAGAGAACAATAGGCCAAGGGTGGCAATATGTGTGAACGAAAGAGAGTTTTGCCTCAGGCTGGAAGCTGGAAGAACAGAGGTTTGTCTTGCTTTTTGCAGGACCTAGAGTTGTGGCTTGGGGATCTCCCTGGGAATCTAATGGGGGAGGCAAGATCTTCTAGAGCAGTGGCTTTCAACCAGTGTGCTGTGGCACCCTGGGGTGCCTTGAATGATGGTCAGGGGTACCGTGGGCGACACTGGCCTCTGTCCCTCTTTCCTCCCCTCCTTGCTCTGATGCCCTTTTGTTTCTCTGTCTCCCAAAGGCTTACACAACTGTTTATTGCAGCAGCCCTGGCTATAAGTTCCACAGATGAATGGTGCCTCTGGAAGGCATCTCTCTTTGCAGTATGTGGGGGGGGGGAGGGCAACTCATAGACCAGGGACAGCAGCAGCAGCTGCCTGGAGGACTCCCAAGGAGAAGAAGAAGAAGAGTTTGGATTTGATATCCTGCTTTATCACTTCCCGAAGGAGCCTCAAAGAGGCTAACATTCTCCTTTCCCTTCCTCCCCCACAACAAACACTCTGTGAGGTGAGTGGGGCTGAGAGACTTCAAAGAAGTGTGACTAGCCCAAGGTCACCCAGCAGCTGCATGTGGAAAAGCGGAGACGCCAACCCGGTTCACCAGATTATGAGTCTACTGCTCTTAATCACTACACCACACTGGTGTAGGAGA